CATCTCATTTAATCCTCCTAGCCATCTGGGAGGTCGTCATTGTTTATCTTCATGCACTTGATGAGAAAAGGAAAGCCAAGGGAATTAAAATAACTTACGCAAGTCACCCAAGAGTAAATATAAATCATGAGAATTTGAACTCATCTGACAACACACCCTTTTCTTTAGCACCTGTTGGCTCTGACTTTGAAGTAGTAAATTAAACAGCTTTAAAAAGAATAGATTGGAGGCCTACAGAACGCCTGTTCTCCCATCCAGGTTACTTAACACTTCTCTCGCCTGACAGTTACTATCCGATATTTCCCCCAAAGTCATTAGAATCTAAGCTCCTTGAGAATCTAAGTTTTATTATTTTTATTATGTTTTATATAGAGAGTATAGTGCCTGCAACGCAGTAGAGCATTAATAAAAGTTTTTTGAATGATGAATAATTTCATGTGTTGGCTAGGGGTAAAGATTTGGGATTGCATGGGGGAAGCAGGGACAATAACTACTCAAGAGACATAAAGAATGACTGTGGGTTCAAAGACGACACTCCCAGAACTAGTAAGAGCTTACAAAGTGTTCTGGACTGCCAGGTCATTCCAAAGATTCATCAGACCAGTAAGTAATTAGCCAAAGAACTAGCCCACATCTCATGTAGACCTTGGGATGAGTTGGGTTTCTTTGAATTCCTTGTTAAACTGGCACTGATTTCATGTCCCAGAAATTCTAATGTCTCTTCAGGTTTCTTTGATGCAGGTCATTCACATGCCAATAATATCACACAAGCTGTGGAGGTGTACTTAGAACTGGCAGCTATTAAAGGGAAGATAGTTAAAGGAAGGTAATAGATACTGTGATTTATGGGGAAATACTGCTTCTCTTGCAATTCCATTGAAGGAAGAGACCTACAGAATTAGAAAAAGAAATCATGATACCATTTCAAAATAGTGGATTAAATCTCTGTAGGAACTAGTAATAACTTCAAGGTCTTTGTCTAAGGGAAGAGGGCTGTGTCTCTTGAACATTGATTCTGGAGGTTTTTTACTCCCTTTGAGGCATCCTATGATCTCTGTCCAGTAAAGGAAAAAAAAAAAAAACACACATAGTAATTGATGACTGTCCTCATCAGCTGGAGACATTGGCAGGTTTGGGAGAAGGAGAAAATGGGGCTGGAGTGAGTAGTTGGAAGAAGATTATAGATCAAATGATCCAGCTAGCATTTTTTTTTTTTTAAAGAAATTTTGTACCTACTCCACTCTTTTCTGATAGAAACCTAACACAGTTTCTGCTTTTTAAGACAGGGTTTTAGCACATAATGGGACATAAGTTTTAATTTCTTCTAAAGTACTGACATTTTAAATTTACCTTTCGAAGAATTATTTCTTCCCAAGCTGGCATACTCTTATCAGACAACAACTTATCAGTAAATAGATGTTTAAAAAATTAAAACTCTCCTTAGATTAACATGTAAACAATTATGATTTCAAGTTCTAATGTTTCTTAGAAAACAGGGTTTTAGTTCCCTTAATATTCACGAGATTTGAGATTCTGGAAAGAAAGTAGTATAGATTAGTGGGAAAAAAATCAAACAAAAATATTATCGAATTTAGTAATCAGGTATCTTGTATTCTAGTTCAAATCTTATATAAATTACACATCTCAATCTCAATCCACATTTTAAAAACCTATCTGTCACATAGAGTAGTACTCTTGGGTCCGAATTTCTATAACACATATTTCCAAGTTATTCTACCTTCCTTCCCCACAAGCTCAAGCAATTTTATGTATTTGTGGTATGAAAGTTTTAGTTCCATTATTTAGAATATCCTGCAAGGTATTTACATATGTTGCAACTGTAACCATCCAACTATGTAGGTCTATTGTGTCAGAAAGATTTATTACTGTATGGAGGCAAAAAAAAAAAAAAAAAAAATCCAAAACCAAACAAAACAAATAGATGTGTCCATTCTATTCCTGATGTCATGACTAGGTGTTGGGAGGATAAATGAGATAATGAAAGAAGCTCTTGAGTTCTGAGGACAGCTGCTCCATGCAGGCAAGACATCATTATTATTAATTACCTTTATTCACTTTCAAACCATCTGTTTCCAAACATGGGCTGTGTGGCCCTATTTTCCTATCTCAGTGCCCCCTAGTGTATACCTTATACATATTTAATCTTCAACTGATTTCAAAGGAAGCAACATTATGTTCAGATGGATGGTGCTGGAACAAAGGACAGGCATTAATTCATTATTATGATGATTTTGTTTGTTTGAGACAAGATCATTCACTCATATTAAATTATTCTGAATACTTTGCTATGGTATTATGCTAGTTTTTTTTTTTTTAAATCGTAAAAAAACTAAATAATGCCATCTGGTGGTGAAAATAAATATTCTGGAGAGTATTTCCAGAAGTTTTACCTCATTTTTTTTTTTTTTGTATTTTAATATCTTCATTAGTGTAATATTTTTAATGAGTTGACTTAGGTCATTAGAAAGTAGAATAGAGATTTTATACAACAGATAGAAATAAATAGTTTGAAATAGATCTAGCCAGATCTAATTTACAGTGGTAAAATTCCTGATTCAAGTTTTTTTTCACCCATAAAGAGTGGTGACAGATCATGCAAAAGTGTGGTGCTGGTTCTCTTCTTTTTTTTTTTTTTTTTTTTTTGAGACGGAGTTTCGCTCTTGTTACCCAGGCTGGAGTGCAATGGCGCGATCTCGGCTCACCGCAACCTCCGCCTCCTGGGTTCAGGCAATTCTCCTGCCTCCTCTTCTTAAGTAAATGAGAATAGTAATTTCTTGGCATCTGATACTATCGTTTCTTCTGTAGTCACAATAAATAAATGATATCCAGCCATGAAATTCAGAACTGCTCTCGTGGTGATAGACCAACTTCCTGAAAAGATATGACGCTTTTATGGATTCCTTCTTAATTTCGCTCACCCTTGGAATTCAGTCATGTCTGAAACCTAGAGGGGTATACCTGCTGGAAGTTTTTTGTTTTGTTTTTATTACATAGTTTACATGAGAACCTGATGAGCCTGCTATGATAAATCAATGGGGCTGAACTGTAAACCAGAATAAATGAAAGACTATGTTTTACTCAGGATCCACTCTCCTCAACCCTTTCTGTCCTCTAACGACTAGGGTATGTCCCAAGAGAGAACCTATCACACTGGGAAATGTTTTCAGGCAACAAATTTAATTCCTCTGTCTTTTGGTTTCACAGAAAATAGGCTTTTTCTAGGAAAACAATGAAGAAACAGGTCTGGCATAAAGACAGTGTTCAATAAATATTTGTTGAATTACATCAAAATGAAGACCGTTCTTCCCTTGCAGCCCTTGTAAGAGATGTCTTCAACCAAAATGAAATTTCTGAAATGCCAAGGAACCACATCACTCCCTTGCTTAAAATCCTGCAATGGCTTCATAATCAACTACAAATTCCTGACAAGGCCATTCATAATCTGGCCCTTGTATACCTTTTGACTCATATTATCTCATTTATCATTCCCCCAACTTGACTTCTCTGCTTTAACACAAATATATATCCATGTGCACACACACACACACACACACACACACACACACTGAATAGAAAAAGATTATCCCCTGCTCCCCAAAGCCAGTGTTCCTTTTAGCTTTTGCGGACCAAAGCACCCTTTTTTGCCTTACCTAGTAAACGTTTAATCATTTAAATCATTCAGTTCAAGCACTACACTACTTCCACGAGGAATCTTTTCTTGAGTTTTCTCCTGTGGTCAACAGTGCTTTCACCCTGTGCTCAGAGAACTTCATATACATACTCCAAAAAAATACAGTTACTTTGCTAAAATTGTTTCCATCGAAATCTTCACTATACATGTGTTTCTCAAGACCAAAGGCTACATTCTATTTCTTTAAAATCAATTTTAAATGTTTCGAGTGGTAATTGACCCCCATTAACTGCTTATTAAATGCATGATAAATAATTGGTAGCAGATATTGCTAATCAAGCTCCAACATCTAGTCTTCCTTCTTATTTAATAGAGCCCAAACTCACTTCAACCTCTCTGGAGCTACCCAGCTAGGGATGGTCACATGACAAAGCTCTCGCTATGAGATATAACTGGACAAGATATGTGATGCTTCCTCGTTATGACTTCCTTATTAAGAAACTGCTTGTTCTTAATTTATTTTGTCTGTTCTGCTTCTCACAGACTGAAAACAGGTGACAATTGGCAGTTTCCTTGGACTTAGTGGTAGAAATGAATGTTGAAGTTGGCTGAGTTCTCCTGACAGCCTGGGAACCTACAGAAACTTACTCTGGGTTATGTTAGAGAAAAAGACATCCTGTCATATTTAAGCCACTATATTTTGAGGTCCCTTATTACAGCCGTTCAGGTGATGCTAACTGTACATGGTTAAAATGGAAACTATTTTCTATGATATTGAAGTTTTATTTTCTCAGCCTTGTACCATAGAAAATATTTCCATTTCTATTATGTACCAGGATACAACCTAGAAATATGTCCTGAAAAACAGTTAAATATTACTTTTACAGATAAGCTTCAAACCACTATCAAATTTCTATTTATTGCTTGTAGAACTTAAATTATCATTAAAAATTAAAAGGCAACTATTTCCAAGAGTAGACACTTTCTTTACAATCTTAAAAAATATCCTCTAGCCGGGTGCGGTGGCTCAAGCCTGTAATCCCAGCACTTTGGGAGGCCGAGGCGGGTGGATCACGAGGTCAAAAGATCGAGACCATCCTGATCAACACGGTGAAACCCCGTCTCTACTAAAAATACAAAAAATTAGCTGGGCATGGTGGCGCGTGCCTGTAATCCCAGCTACTCAGGAGGCTGAGGCAGGAGAATTGCCTGAGCCCACGAGGCGGAGGTTGCGGTGAGCCGAGATCGCGCCATTGCACTCCAGCCTGGGTAACAAGAGCGAAACTCCGTCTCAAAAACAAAAAACAAACAAACAAAACAAAAAAATCCTCTAATCTTAAGACTCTACCTTGTTCTTAGCTTATGTCTTCTTCACTCGTTGAATAATCAATTATTCACTTTAGGCACAGCTTTGTCTCATATGTTAGGAAAATCTTGACCGTGGATGGAAGAGAGTAAAGGAACTCCAGAATGACAATTATTGGTTGGTAGCATTACCTTCAGCAGCACTTGATACCATAGTGTTTATTCTGAAACCCAATATTCATTTTTCTTTCTGTCTCTGGTATCTGAAACCATGTTTTAGAAACCTTAATAGCAACACAAATGCGGTAAGGCTGGAATTACATTTTTTCAGTTGCCGGTGACCTGAGTCAGGATACATTCCCTTGATTTAGATCATATGACTTATCTCTTGACTAGCCTGTTAGAAATTTCCACTCTGGTGGTTTTTCTACAGTCTGTACCATTGGGTATCTGTTGCTATAGTCTGTACATTTGTCTTTTGCTTATCAAGAGGCCATTATTATACCTAAAATCTGGGTTTGTCTCCTGTCCTACCTGGGTGCCTGATGCTTTTAGATGAAAAGGTTTTCCTTCCTCTTAGTAGTCTCTTGTTTCCACTGGAGTTAAAGGTCAGTAATGAGAATGTCTTGAGATATGATGATATTGGCGTGTAGCTTCCAATTTGTCATTAATATGTCATTAATATTATATATATATATGTGTGTATATTTAAGACTTTCATTTGAAGCCATTAGGCTTTTGAGCACTATTGTCTTTAGCAGTTGCCTTCAAAAGTAAGCAAAACCGTCATGGTGAACACTGTAATTTATCCCTGCTGCGTACTTCCCTTTTTTCTCATAAATTACATGAGGGTTTTTTTTTTTCTTTTGTTAACTACCTCTCTCTCATCTAGCTAATCTAGCAATCAAATGTCTCTCCTTCTGCTTTGATAGAGGTGGGCATGTGAGCAGGGCTGAGCAGTGAGTGGCCTGGAATGTTGATTGATCCAAGGACAGGAAAATGGCTTAAGGAAGGCCTCAGTATTTTTTCAAGAACTGATACAGTTGCTAGAGGACAGCAAGTTTTTCTCTCCCCTTCTGAGATCATAAGTAGTAAGAGCATTCAATCTGGAGAGGCAAATGGCCAAGAAGCAGAGAGAAAATATGTTCCTGATAGCATCTTCTGAACACCTGGACTAAGATTTTTTTTCCCCTGCTACTTCCGATAAATATTCGACAAGTTTGAACTCTTTTACTTGCAAGGAAGGTAGTCTAAACCAGAGGTGATAAACTATGGCCCCACCATCTGTTGTTTGTAAATGAAGTTTCACATGAACACAGGGACATGGATTTGTTTACATATTGCCAATGGCTTTTTTTTTCCCCACTCCTGTCTTAGAGTTGAGTGGTTCTGATGGAGATGGTATGGCCATAAAACTCTAAAATATTTAATATATGTCCCTTTACAAAAAAGTTTTGCCAAACTCTGCTTACTTTTGAAACAACGTTTAAAAATAAACTTTTAATATTTGAACAATTTAAGGTTTTCAAATATAAGTTTTCTTTCCATAACCTCTATTATCTTTTTAAAGTGGACAAATTAAATTATGACTGAAGATGTGATTCTAAGGGTGGCACTAAATGTCTGGCAATTTTTGTTTTGTTGGTTTATGCTTGAAAATAGTTTGTTGATTTCTAAGCTGATTTATATTCAGTAAAGTTGTATATGTTGCTACAAGGTGACATACTGTGTGCAGTTTATTTTGAGGTGACATTGGCACCTTCTGTACCTTATAATTTGCAGAACTTATTCATAGTCTGCATAATGCATAATGATGTGTCTTATCTATAGTTATCCAGTATAGGAGCCACTAGTCACATGTGGCTATTGGCACCTGAAATGGGACTAGTCTGAACTGACATATGTTTAACGTGTAAAATATATACCAGATTTCGGTGAACAAGCATGACAAATACAATATAAAAAGACTGAGTGATAATGTTTGAATAGTTATTAGATGTTAAAATGGTATTCTGAATATATTGGATTAATAGAAATGTATTATTGGAATTATTGTCTATGTTTCTTTTAAACTTTTAAAAATGAATATTAAAAAATTAAATTTACCTTTGTGTTTCACATTATATTTCTATTAAACAATGCTGATCCAGAAATTATAGAAAAATGTAGTATGACTGAAGATTGATATAAACTTTTATAATTTTGAAAGCATTTTTTTTTTTTGAGACGGAGTTTCGCTCTCGTTACCCAGGCTGGAGTGCAATGGCGCGATCTCGGCTCACCGCAACCTCCGCCTCATGGGCTCAGGCAATTCTCCTGCCTCAGCCTCCTAAGTAGCTGGGATTACAGGCACGCGCCACCATGCTCAGCTAGTTTTTTGTATTTTTAGTAGAGACGGGGTTTCACTATGTTGACCAGGATGGTCTCGATCTCTCGACCTCGTGATCCACCCGCCTCGGCCTCCCAAAGTGCTGGGATTACAGGCTGAGCCACCGCGCCCGGCAGAAAGCATTTTAAGTATTTAATCTTGTATGATGAGCAAATCATCTTTGTATTATTATCTTTGTATTATTATCTTGAGGACCAGACATTTGTGAATATGCATGTACTGTTGATCAAACATGTAATTTGCATTTTTGTTGATAAAATTTTAACCCATAAAAAAATCATTACATATATAAAATTAATTATTAGATGCAAATAGGTTCTGATTCTCCATATTTAATTTTTAAAAATCTATGCAGGAAACAGAGGAGCATAACTTTTATGCAGAGTTCATTACATTCTTGTAAAAATCTTATTATGTTCTTTACTAAAATAAGTCTAAATACATAGAAATGTTGGGACATTGTAGGTGTAACTGAAAGAAGTTTTTCTCTTCATTTATTTCTAAAGGTGTTATTCTGTGAAATTTCTTATAGAAAAACACAAAAAGAATATTCCTTTTTGTTTAGTTAGTATGTTGTCCTACCAAAATTGATGTCTGCAAAATGGAAATGATGGGCAAAGTGAAAGCTGTTCAAAAGTTTCAACCAAGTGGCACTCTTTTAGATTTGATTGCTTAATTTATGTTGATTACTATTTTTAATGTAAATATACCAATACATATCTAAAATGAATAGTAATATACTTGTACGTTTCTTTCTAAATGAAAGCATCTGGAGACATAATGAATTCAGTACAAATTGTATATATTCCATTCACATCTCAATGCACTTAGCATATGTTGTTAGTATGTCATTTTTGAAAAAGAAAGGCAGCTGTCAGAATATGAAGCACGCCCATGACGTTAATATGAAAGCAGTATTTTTAGCTTCCTATTGAGCGTTTATGGTTGCAAAACGTATTTGTCTCCTGTGATGAACAAAAATCTAACAACCATTAGAGAGTTCTCCAATCATCTCTGAGCATGACGACCTTTTGGTGAGCAGGTAATATGTGAATCATGCATTGTATTTTATTTAAGAATTAAAAATTAGATTTATAATACAGTCTACATACTTCAGACATTAGCAGGTTCCTGGCTAACTTTGTTTTGCATTTATTAGTTCAAAAGAATAGCATGGAAATTATGCCAGATTTTTGCCTATTTATATTTCAATTTATATCATTTAAAATTTGAAATTCGTAGTCAATTATTACACAGTGTGCCGAGACAATTTAATAAGTTATTTAGATTTGTTTTAGATGATAAAATATATATGTAGATAGTCACTGAAAAAGAACTGCCATAGTAACAGAATTTGCAAAGTGTAATTAAATTGTAAGAAAACTATTTTTAGAATTTTTAATATTTTCATTAGGGAAAATTGAGTAAAGGGCACAGGGATCTCGGTGCATTATGTCTTCTTATTCCACGTGAACCTAAAAGTATCTCAAAATAAAAAGTAAATTAGGTCTTGTTCGGTGGTGACTCATATCTGTAATCCCAGCACTTTGGGAGGCCAAGGTGGGTGAATCATCTGAGGTCAGGAGTTCAAGACCAGCCTGGCAAACATGGTGGCACCCCATCTCTACTGAAAATACAAAAATTAGCCTGGTGTGGTGGCAGGTGCCTGTAGTACCAGCTATTCAGAAGATTGAGGCAGGAGAATCACTGGAACCTGGGAGGCAGAGGTTGCAGTGAGCCACGGTAGCATGACTGTACTCCAACATGGATGACAGAGTAAGACTCCATCTCAAATAATAATGATGATAATAATAATTTAATTAAACTGAATTAGAAAGAGAGTTGAGTAAGATGACAAAATACAAAATAGATAGCTTAACTATGACAGAAATAACCAATTAGAAAATGAAATAGGGAAAAATCTCATTAATAATTGCATCAGAAACTAGCATTGGTAAAATGCTATTGAAGAAACCTAAGTAATGTCCACATGAAGAACTTAAGGAAAATATAAAACTTTGCTGAAAGACTTAAAAGAAGACTTAGATAAACAGATATGTAATGATCATGGATAGGAAGGCTCTGAAATGTAATTAAACCATTTATTTCCAAATTAAGCTCTGAATTCATTGTGATTCCAGAAATATAATCCCAAAGTGATAAAATCTTAGAAGGAAATCACAAACTTCCTAAATACCAAACGTTATACTAAGAGAGAAATGAAAAGAGACTAGAATAAAATATACTGCAGAGCAAAAAGTATCTGTATATAAGACAAATGCACATACATACTAACATGTATATGTATAAAACAATATGACAGGCCAGACATACAGATAGGTGGCTCACATCTGTAATTCCAACACTTTGAGAGGCTGCGGTGGTAGAATTGCTTGAGTCCAGGAGTTCAAAGCCTGGGAAACATAAAGAGCCCTTGTTTCTACAAAAAATTTAGCCATAGTGGTAGCAGGTACCTGTGGCCCCAACTACACAGGAGGCTGAAGCAGGAGGATCTCTTGAGCCCAGGAAGTCAAGGCTTCCGTGAGTAATGTTAATGCCACTGCACTCCAACCTGAGTGACAGAGCAAGACCTGTGTCAAACAAACAACATGACAAAAATGAGTATAAAATAATGATCATATCGATAAATACAAATAGACTTACAAAATTATCTTCAGAATGCATTAAATGAAGGAAGCAAAATAAATAAAAATGTGCATAATATGTTAATGCTTATATGAATAAACATGTTTGCTTATGAAAAAATAAAACAATGGAAGGATAAACCATAAAATTACAAAAAAAAATATGGGTGAGTGTAACAGTAGATAGAGAGGATTGGG